CATATGCCACACAAGCTGCTAAGACATTTCAGCACATCCGTCTGTTTGATTTCATATTTTACACATAATTTAGCACATTAGTGATATATTTCCAGTGTATGTGCATGGAGAGGACAAGTAAGGACATTTACCAATCATAGCTCTGTCCAGATCTTGTGGGTTCTCCCTGTTGGGATCATTAAGTTGCTTCAACACAAAGTCCAGAACACTGGCATCAGGACAATTCTATCATTCTGGTGGCACCCATTCACTGTAGAGGATCCATTGTATCTAAATTTTTCCAAATCTGTTCTGATGAAGAAACAAACTCATCTACATCTCGGAGGGCCTGAGGGTGAGTACATTTGCAACTAATTTTCATTTTTGGGTGAACTATTCCTTTCAGGAAAACGGGATACAATGCAGTTTGCATCTGATACCAAAAAAGTAAAGTTTCACTGTTTGTACTTTGCATTTTAGTTAATGATTTCCTGTCAGTTAACGACGCCTGAATGTTTCTGAGGGTACCTGGCTTCAGCGAGAGTTACGGCCACACGCATTGCTGCCTTCATTCTGACCAACATCTCTGGCCTTCCTGTGTACAGTGCAATCTACATCATATCCTGTGGAAGTAGAAGGTCTTAAGATCTTTACATTTGAAGACAAAATAGGAGTAATATGGTTTTTAGTACACAAAAAGTGATTATTTTCACCAGTGAATGGGTGATATTCAATAGTCCAACAGAAGTCCAATAACCTACGCCAATACATCATTAAAAAAGTGCTCCACACGGCTCCAGGGGGTTACTAAAGTCAGCGATGATGTAGGTGTATAGTGTAAGCTCCGGTGAGAATGCCAAGTTTTGTTTACAGGAGCAAAGGAAGCAAAGTTTCCTTTGTTTGGCCTCTTGGCTTATATCAAAATACTTGTTTCATCTGGATGCCCTAGTAAATGAGTATGAAGAAACAATGGTTTGATTGGACACTGGTTTTATGTCTCTGAGGTATTTTTCTCTTAAACAAACTGTGGTAACATATGCCACACAAGCTGCTAAGACATTTCAGCACATCCGTCTGTTTGATTTCATATTTTACACATAATTTAGCACATTAGTGATATATTTCCAGTGTATGTGCATGGAGAGGACAAGTAAGGACATTTACCAATCATAGCTCTGTCCAGATCTTGTGGGTTCTCCCTGTTGGGATCATTAAGTTGCTTCAACACAAAGTCCAGAACACTGGCATCAGGACAATTCTATCATTCTGGTGGCACCCATTCACTGTAGAGGATCCATTGTATCTAAATTTTTCCAAATCTGTTCTGATGAAGAAACAAACTCATCTACATCTCGGAGGGCCTGAGGGTGAGTACATTTGCAACTAATTTTCATTTTTGGGTGAACTATTCCTTTCAGGAAAACGGGATACAATGCAGTTTGCATCTGATACCAAAAAAGTAAAGTTTCACTGTTTGTACTTTGCATTTTAGTTAATGATTTCCTGTCAGTTAACGACGCCTGAATGTTTCTGAGGGTACCTGGCTTCAGCGAGAGTTACGGCCACACGCATTGCTGCCTTCATTCTGACCAACATCTCTGGCCTTCCTGTGTACAGTGCAATCTACATCATATCCTGTGGAAGTAGAAGGTCTTAAGATCTTTACATTTGAAGACAAAATAGGAGTAATATGGTTTTTAGTACACAAAAAGTGATTATTTTCACTGGTTTCTTCTCTTCTAGATTCCATGTTCCTTCCATGGCCCTTCGAGAGTGATCTCAGGCCCTCTGATGCAACCTTTCAGTAAACTGAAATTCAAAAATAGTGTGACTGTAAGTATTTTTAATGAGTAATAGAAGTAAATTGATCGAGGAAGACAAAATTTGAATATTGTGGTGAAAGAGAGCGATATGGCACAGAATGAAGATAATGATTGATCTGCCTTTGATCTTCTTTTTTCACTTCTTTTATTCTGTTTGTTTAATTAATGTGTCCTTCATAATATATTCATTTTTATATTTTTAAATGATTATTTTACTATTAATTGTTATATTTTTATATTTATTTTTAGTTTTATACACCATTGCTTCTGTTTTATTTGTTAATATTTTATATATATATATATATATATATATATATATACACTTGCATAAAATACCTTTTGCCTTTAATACAGCCATTCTTTTTGAATAATTAAAAATGCTGATTTTGTCCATTTTTTCCCCAGTCACACCACTTATGGCACCAGTCGCCCTGTCCTCCTGGGTGCAGGCCATCTGTGACACCAAGACCACATATGATTCATAAGCACAAATATTGCATATTAAAATTGTACCTCGCTGCGGGCTCTCACACTATCTCGCCCCGTTTCACTCTCTGTTTTTGACTGTTTCACTTGCTGTCCTGAGATATTGTTAGTAAACATGATGTCTTGTCACATAAACCACACCCTCTTATTCAAGTTTACACCCAGTGGTCTTACTGTAAATAGCATGACATTCATTGTCATGTATGAATGGTTATTTCCTCTTATATGCCAGGGACTATATCTTCTATTTGAATGATGGCACAAACATTATAATGAATATTTATGTCTTCAATGTTTTTATTATATAATAGACCGTTTTATAAGGTACTCAAGGCCATGATTGTGATCTTTGGTCACTCTGATGCATGTTGTACCTAACCACAACCTTTAGTCATGACTATGTTCATAATACAGCACAACCTCCAATACATTTTTCTTACATTTATGAGTTTAAACAAGGTTAAAGGGATAGTTCACCCAAAAATGAAAATTCTGTCATTAATTACTCACCCTCAAGCCTTTCCAAACCCGTAAGACCTTCGTTCATCTTTCAACACAAATTAAGATGATGAAATCCCAGCACTTTCTGACCCTGCATAGACAGCAATGCAACTGAAACGTTCCCAGACCCAGAAAGGTAGTAAGGACATAGTTAAAATAGTCCATGTGACATCAGTGGTTCATCCGTAATGTTATGAAGCTACAAGAATACTTTTTGTGCGCAAAGAAAACAAAAATAACTTTATTCAACGATTTCTTCTCTTCTGAGTCAGTCTCCACTGCCATTCATGAGAGTACCATCACACATGCGTGTGCATTCCTCTGCTTGTAAACAAGGCACAGTGCATCTGGGTTCTACATCAGAACTCTGGCTCCTGCATCAACAGCATCACAAGCATGAACCATCCCTTTAAGCCAAACATGGTAGATTCAGCGCTCGTGAAGTAATATTACTTAGCCAATAGAGGGAGCACTTCTATGTAAATCATAATTTACTAGTAATAGTTATACAAATTAATGGTTTTATTAAGGATGCACTACATTGATCAAAGGTGACAGTAAAGACATTTATAACTTTAAAAAATATTTATATTTCAAATAAAGTTAGTTAAAAATAATAAAAATAAAAATGTTTAAAAAAAGTTTTAAAAAAATATATATGTTTCCACAAAAAGATTAATCAGAAACATTTCAACATTGATTATAATAATAATAAGAAATATTTATTGAGCAGCAAATCACCATTATCACGTGACACATAATCAGCTTTGATTCAGTTTGCATCACAGGAATAAATTACTTTAAAAAATATATTCAAACATTTATTTTAAATAATATTTAAAAACTTTACTGTTTTTACTGTATTTTTGATCAAATAAATGCAGCCTTAGTGCGCATGAGAGACTTATTTTCAAAACATTAAAAATTTTACCGACCCCAATTTTTGACTGGAAATGTATTTGTGTTCAGTGCAGCTCTTTTATTTAAGTTTAGGCAAGTCCTTGTGGCTCATGATTACAGACTTGTGACCCTAGTGACTTTAGCTGTCTCTATCTTATGTTCCTCTTTGTTGATCATCTGGTGCTTTGTCCCATCCTTGCACAGCTGACAGCTCTACACCGTGAAACCCTATCAGATGTCTGGCTCTGTTCCTCCTGGGGTCTCCAGGTTATTGATTTCTGCAGTGGACTGCGGTGCACAAGGATCAATACTTCTACAAAGGGTTATAACTAAAATGATTTTGTCCAGATATTAGTAAAGGGGCATAACCTTTTCCTCTCAGACTACGATTTGCTGTTAAATTGTGTGTTATTGATTTCTGAAAGATCATGTGGCAGTGAAGACTGGAGTAATAATGCTGAAAAATCTGCTTTGATCGCATATGCATTTTTAATTACATTTTAAAATATAATAAAATAGAAAATAGTTATTTTGAATTGTTATATTTTACAATATTGCTGTTTTTACTGTATTTCTGTTCAAATAGCCTAAGTGCAGCCTTGGTGAGCATGATTAGAGACTTTTTTCAAAAACATAAAAAAAAATCATACTGACCCCAAACTTTTGAACAGTATAGTGTACATGTAATATTTATTTTAATTAGGCTGTGCAAGTAATTTTTTAAAAACTAGTTCAAATGGATCGTGTTATGTTCTGTAATTGCTGTTAATAAATCTGTCAGAAAAAAAAGTGCTAAAGTTTCACCTTTAGGGCTACAACTGTCTGGCAGCCTTTTACAAAAATTAACCATGGTTATTTTTCATGAGGTACCCTCAAAGGTAGCCTACACCTTTATCTACCCTTAAGCGTTCTTACTTGTATGTTACTGATATACTACTCCCTTTTAGGGGTAGAGAAAGTGCACCTTTGAGGTTACTGACACAGTAAAGAGCTAAAATAAATTTTTTGTACGTTTTACTTCTGACAGTGTAAACAAAAAAGGCCTATGAAATGTTAAATAAAACATGGCTTTCAAATATAATGTTAAGAGAGCATAATTACTGATTTTATACTTTTAATAAACAATTTAGTTTAGAGGTATCGGTATTGATATCGACGATAAAATTAAATAATAGGTATCGCCTAGTTCCGGGTGTCAAGTCAGCGGCGCAATATACGGAGCATCTGAAGCAGGAAGATAGAGAGAGGGGAGGGCGCGGGGAGGGGAGAGCGAAAATAAGAGGTGAAAAAGCGAATGAGGGAGCAGCAGCACACCGATCAGTCACTCTCCGCTGGTGCTCCGACCCTGAGAAACACCATCCAGTCATTACATCGCCCGTGATTCTGCTATGCGCATCGGACGAGGAGACGCCACTTGCGCTTTGGTTTTGGATTGGTGTTAAATCTTTTACTGTGCATCACTGGACAGGATGGAGCATTGGAGACAATGTGCGTTATGGCTGATCAATTGTAAGGTGCTGCCACCGAACCATCGGGTGACATGGGAGTCCGCTCAGGTGTTCGACCTGGCGCAGACCCTGCGGGATGGGGTCCTCCTGTGCCAGCTCCTCAACAACCTGAGACCCCAGTCACTCAACCTGAGGGAGATCAACCTGAGACCTCAGATGTCACAGGTAAGAGAAGTTCTGTGTTTACAGTAAGACTGGACGTTAAACTCAATATTTGGAGGGTTAAAAACATAAAAACATAGTTAGAAACGTGTTTTTATGTATATGAAAAAGGTGGGCTAACTGCTATGTACGTACTTATCCAATGTTTTGCAACAGAAAGTTGTTATGCTCGAAATGCTTTACCGTTATTTGTGTGCTAAATTCTCCCCTGTCGGTTAATATTAGCAATGCAGTAACAATATGAAGAGAGATGTTAATCTTTAAAGGTGCACTCAGTCATTTTTCTTAATTTAAACGTTTTATACATAAAAAAGGAGCAGAGCTTTTAAAAAGATGATTCAAAATTCTAAAAAAAAAACCTGGCTTCTCATTAGGGATGGGCGTATCGATACAAAGTATCGATATATCGATACTGACGCGAGTATCGAAAGTATCGATACTCAAACAAAAATATCGATACTAAGGTGCATTTTATTTACCAGTGGTTTTGTTTATTTAACAACAATACTAATAATAATGCGTACAATATGCATTGAATTGGACGAATAACCTTTGTTAGATAAATTTCATAATTTAAAAGTTTAGTGCAGAAGTATCGAATCGGTATCGATATCGACGATACTGCCTTGAAAAGTATCGGTATCGTATCGAAAACAAAATAAGGGGTATCGCCCATCCCTACTTCTCATGGGCGCCACATCACATGACATGACCCAACTAAAATATGCTAAAATAAAAGATCGTTTTGCTAGCATTTCCATTAAATTATGAAAATGTTACTTCTGAATGTTCTCTGGATGTTTAAAATGTACAGTTTTTAAAATGTTTTTCTTCAATTCCATTATTTTGCAAACATTATAGGAACATTGCTTTTGAATTCTGAAACAATAATTAACATGCACAAAATGTTAGACGAACTTCCAACTAAAACATTTGAATAAAAATATTCCATGAGCAATGTATAGATAATGTTTTTGTGCTAACCTTTTGAGAACACTATGAAAGAATTACAGGAAGAATGTTTGTTCATAACTTTGCCGGAATGTTCCCTGTTAGCTGCTGCGTCATGCAGTTGAATTACTACTTCTATTACTAATGACAATTATAATAATAATAATAATATGTTTATTTTATGTAGGCCTAGTCCTTTCAGCCTGTGCTCAAGATGCTTTTCATAAAAATAAAAGTATCAATTCTAAAACCACTATAGTGGGACAAATAAGAGCTGGCTAAACACAACCCAGAAATTAGCAAGTGCACCTTTAAGGAGAATGTTTGACTTCCTATGTAGTCTACACTCTTAAAAATAAAGGTGCTTCACGATGCCATAGAAGAACCTTTTTGTCTAAATGGTTCCATAAAGAACCTTTCTGTTTCACAAAAGGTTCTTTGTGGCAAAAGAAGGTTCTTCAGATTATAAAAAGGTAAGAAAGAGATGGTTCTTTAAAGAACCTTTGACTGAATGGTTCTTTGTGGAACCAAAAATGGTTCTTCTAAGGCATCGCTGTGAAGAACCTTTTGAAGCACCTTTATTTTTAAGAGTGCATATAGCCATCTGTGAAAGAAAATGTGTGTGAAATGAGTCCAACTGTTTAAACCAGTTGCTTTTTGATACATAATTTGGTCAAAACCATGAATCTACAGCGTTCTGGTCAGGATCAGGGTCAGTCAAACGCTTTTTTAGTTTGGTCTCATTTGCTGTACCCTATCAGGTGAGAGCAGGACTAGGTTCAGTATTTGTGGGAAGCTGCTTTATTGAAAACAGCGGCCTCTGATATATGTCTCTCGTTCTGTGTTGTCAAACACCATCTGCTCCAAGTCTGGACTTGATTACACGTCCCTCTCACATGAGGAGAAAGCTGCCATCAACACAATGATGTTTCATAGAACTGACCGATACAGTATTCACCTTTATTTTGAAGGAAACGGATGCACACTAACCAGTGTCTAGACAGGCACACATGCACTTTGTGATGAGAATAGACGTTTGCATAACATTTGTCAATGTAGCGCGGTCACAGTGAGCTGATGCCAAGAAGCATTTACAAAAAGTTATCTTTTAGTTTTTAAAATAAAGACCTTGTTTGGTTCACTGGCTTACTGACAAATATATTCTGTGTAAGTTTGACCTATCTGATCAGAATTACAGCATACATCATTTTGGCTTTGCATCGCCTTGCTACTGATTACATCAGATATGCTTCTTTGTTTTCATTTGGTTTGTTATATCATAGTTTCTTTTTGCATTGCACTGATGTAGATGCATCTTGTTTCACCAAAGGGCTTTATCCACTGAGAATTAACATATGCAAAAAAAAAAGGAACCGAAAATGAGCAAATGGTCTGTGTAAACCAGCATTTTGAGTATAGAGGTGAAATTTCCATCTCTAAGGGCAGCATCTGAATCCTTGCATGAATTATTCATGACGTTTTTGGCAGCTATTTTATCAAAGACTCATTACAGCACATGGGACACAGACCCAGGCGTCCTGGGGGAACAGCTCAGACAAAAGCAGTGAAGAGAGCAAACTTAAAGCTGGAGTCCCCACCTCATCAAGGCACCTCCAGGGGCCCAATGGGCCCTTTGGGTTTCCCTTCACCCCACAATAGCCGTATAATTAAAATATAATGCCAAATTCACCCCTGAAATTTCTGAATTAATGTCAGTAATGGTGTGATGTTTGGTACAGTCAAGGGGGTGTTTTGTGTGTGTAGGAATGGGTTACACAATTTGACAGTTACATATTACATATGGGCAAGCAATTTTGAGGAAGGTACCTTGAAACTGTAACTTCCTATACACTTTTATTTATCAACAATGCATTGATTAAAAAAAAGAGAGACAGTAAAGCCATTTACATTTAAAATAAATGATGTACTTCTACTTTTTAATTAATTAATATATAAATATAAATATTTTAGATGTGAATATATTAATAAAAAA